AACTATATGCTTAGCGACTAATACACGCACGCACACGCGCATGCGTGTACGCATACTCGTACCGGCCATACGTACGTCTCACGGTATAGGTGCATGTATATACACACGCACACATACATGCAAACACGCACGCACGCACGCTCACACGCACGCGCACTTGTATACGCAGACCTTTGCGCTATACGTTGGTCGCCGACTCGCCTAATATAACTATTGCATGTTGCCGACGCTCCAGCATATAAATCAAGATATAAATATATATGGCCTGATATGATCATATTAATCTTCGTGCATGCGCGTCTGTCTCAGATACTTTCACGGATATGTCGGCAAAACTTTGCCCATGGCGCCCAGACTTCATTCGAATAAAGCCAATACTGCAAAAGATAGATCCAAGTTAATAAGCATGCACATCAGACCTTCAGGGAATCCATAAAATTATTGCCAGAATGCGTTCTGGAGAAATTTGATAAAACCAAGCCGCCATTTTAATTATTTTCCATGATCGTCTACGATCCATGGTTTTATCCGCAGCGATGTGATCAGGTGCCACGTATTTCTGCACCCCGTATTTCAGCTAAATGCACTTCCATCAGGCCGTTTTAATTTTGTCTAGACCTGATAGACGCGTTCCGCATCAATGTCCCATTTTATAGATAACAAGCTTTTAAGAAATCTCGCAGTTCAAACATCATCTTTTATAGAAACCGCTATAGATACCTACTCGCCTCGGCTCGGTTACTGACCGATGGCAAGGCCGATTTAACCTCTAGGCGATATATATATATATATAACTAGCGGGATACCCGGCGTTGCCCGGGGAAATCAGTGGCGTTACTCAGTTGGTGACCGCTTGGTTGAAAGGAAAATACCCCAAAAAATCTAACTATCTATCTATGCATCCATCCATGCATCCATCCATCAATCCATCCGATTCCATGCTATCCCATCCCATCCCATCCCATCCCATTCCATCCCATCTCATATCCCATCCCATCCCATCCAATCTCTTCTCATGCCATCCCATGCCATCCCATGACATGCCATGCCATGCCATGCCATGCCATGCCATGCCATGCCATGCCATG